TTTATACATTCTAGATACTAGATCTTTACCAGATACATGGTTTACAAATTCTGAAGGTTACCTCTTCAGTTTCCTGAGTGTCCTTTGAAAAATGTAAGTTTTTAATTTTGGTGAAGTCCTATTTAACACATCTCTTCTTTGGTTGTGTATTATTAACTTTTAATGAAGAGACTATAAGCAAAAAGTTATTAGGATATCCTATAACCGGGCAAGTTGTTCAGACTTCTAAGAAGCAAAGAATTGAGCTGCACACTCATTCAAATAATGAATTCCTATTTAGGAAACACATCCACTTTATCTTGGTGAAAGGTAGGAAAGAAGCTACTCATACCTAAATTTTTAATTAACTAAATCTTCAGATTAAGCAATTAGGCTTTCAATAGTGGATAATAAAGTACAAAGAAATAAAACCCTAGTCAGAGTTGTACATTTTTAGGGCTATTTGCCATAACAGCTAAATTTTTATAGTTCTTACAAGAATTGGAATTTTTTTTTCAAATAAGTACATTTAAAATGGATTTTTAAGAGTTTCAAACTAATATTTTTCTCAATAAGTATAAAATTAAAGATGGGTATGGCATAACCTCAGTGTTCCATTACTGCTTGATAAATACTAAATAGATAATACATAATCCCAAATGACTTGAATTATATAACTTGCAATGTAATAATCCCAAGAATCAATTGTGATTATAGCAATTTTTCTAACAAAAACAACAAAGAAACTAGTCATTAGTGTCCTGAAAGTGAGAGGTAGCATCACTGTCTACATTTCCGTTTCACATTTAGTATGGTTTTTACTATACGCGATATTATCAATTTCTGCCGCAGGAGTCAGTTTTTATTTGTTCAGATTCTTTATCCCCTACGCCCTCCCAACCCCCTGCAAAAAAGAGTTTGAAGTTTTTAAATGCTTATTTTCTTTGATTGCCATAATCATATGATTGTTTTCCCCTGCTCATGTGGTGATTTAAATAGATTTTTCTTATATTGATAAAGTTGTTTTCTTGAAATAACCCAACTAGGTCACGATATATTCATGTATTTCTGGGTTAGGGTTGCTAATATTTTGATTAAAATCATAGCATGTATGTTCATGAATGATGGCTTCTTTTTTTTTTTAATCCTCACCCAAGGATACATTGCTGTGAGAAAAAAACATCAGTTGGTTGCTTACCATATGCGCCCCAACTGGAGATCAAACCTGCAACTTAGGTATGTGCCCTGACCAGGAATCAAACTCCAGACCCTTCAGTGCATGAGACGATGCTCCAACCAACTGAGCCACGCCTGCCAGGACAAGATGGCCTCTTAATTTTCTTTACTGGTTCTATCTTTAGGAGTATGAATCATGTTAAGCTAGCCTTAGAATGAATTAGGTATGCTACCTCTCTTATTATTCTCAAAAATCTTGTGTAAAAATGTATTCCCTCATTAAATAATTGATTAAACTTTACATTTAAAAACAAAAACAAGAAAGAATACCTCTAATACCTTTCTTTACTCTGTCAACCAACTTTTTGATTTAAAAAAACTCATATGTGGAATCTAATGAACAAAATAAACTGATGCACAAAATAGATCCAGAAACGTACAAGCATGGAACAGACTGACGAATCTCAGAGGGAAGGTGGAGGTGTGGGAGTAGGTGGGGAGAGATTAAAGAACTTATATGCATATATGCATAATCCATGGACACAGATAATAATGTGGAGAAGGTCTGGGGGTAGGGGGTGGGGGTGGGTGC